CAGTTACAAAACTTTTGAAAGGAAGTCTCAGCCACAGAATGCATATACCTGTAGAGTTTTGCATGGGTTTTATATGAATACGATTTTAAAAAATAGCTGCTTGCACATTATACCAGAAGAACCTCCCAAACTGCAATTGCTTTGAAAATAGATTTTAGGTTTTTTGGAGTTTTCTGAAATGCTTGGTCTGTATTTTGATAATTGTGCATATTATGTAAAAATGTTGGTGGACCCATAAATGACCAGACTTTTTCTAAGAAAAATGTTGCTTTACTGCATTTCATGAATTTTTACTCTTATATCATTGCTTGCTAGTAATAGCAAATCTGCTTTTCTGCATCTGCTTTGCGTAGCTATTGTAAGGCTTTGAACTGATGTATGTATTTATTGCTTGAACTTCTGTGCATACCTTATAAAGCATAATGTCTGACAATTTAAATGGCTCATGTATTCTTGCTTCTATCATAAGCTGATTATGGGGACTATGATCTTTTGTATACAGCAAATTTTAACTGTAGCACAAACATCTGTTTATGTATTGGTGGAATATACCTGTTTTATTTATCTTTTTTGAGGTAAACTAATTTTTGATACTTTTCATTACTGTGTACTATGTTCATACTTTGAATTCTCTGACATTAGAAGTCATGGTTGAGAATTGTAACAGCTGTTATTCGTTCTGTATTCATGGCTTTCACTGCTGAATAAAATAAAGGACCAAACCTAGGATTTGAAAGAAAACTGTCTACCTCTAACACCAGGGAGTTATCAGATTTTATTTTACATAGTTTTAGTCTACAAAGACACAATTGCTTAAACCTAGTGGGCTTAAGGCTTATATTCTATGTGGTTGGATTCATGGCACAGTTGTACTGTTTGAAAATCAATTAAAATTTCATGTGAATGTTACAAGTATTTGGTAGAATTACCACTACCTGGGTTTTCTTTAGATAACTCAGATATGGAGAAAATGTCATCAGCATTCTGTGTCTACAGCTGCTTAACTTCATAAGAATGCATTTCTTTGTGATTAGGGAATCGAAGAGTAGTCAGCTAGGAATAGAGCTACAGAAGTACACTTAAAATAAACCATCCTGGACTTTAATGTCCCTGGGCAGATTCAGTCGCAAAATCCATTACACTGTTTTGTAAAGTTCTCAAATTGGGCGTTCACGTTTTGAAGAATTTGTGAGACTTCATCCTGCACATGCCAATATTAACACGCATTTGGACAATAGCTTTATTAATGCCATAAAGCTATTGAAAGGAACACGGCTTACCCTTGTTATTCCACTACTTCAGGTTGCAATGAAAGGTGTTTTGTCCACGAACACTTGGCAAATCTTAGCAAAAAAAAAAAAAAAAAAAAAAAAAAAAAAAGGATGTACATTTTCCTATAGAATTAATGTATGAACAGTGTGTCACTGCTGTTGGATGTAAAAATGTATATGAAACCATTTCATTCACTTGATTACATTTCTGAAGTATAAATAAAAAATCTAATTCTTTTTGACCCATTTATAACCCCTAGGATTTTATTCTTTCGGAGAGACCATTCTTCCCTGCCAGAGCCAACTCATAAATTTGTGTACACATGTCCCACAATTTGTTTCAAATCGTTTCCTTAGGAATTGGGGATTCATAAACCAAACCGTACTCGAATTTAGTCAATAAAAGTTGGGGCTGCTCGTCAAATACATTCTGTTTAAAAACTAGCTTCAGGTTCAAAATTGGCTTCCTCGCACAATCATCTCATGTTTTCATGTTTTTATTCTAATAGAATTTGACATCATAAATTCTGAACATTAAAAAAAAGGAAAACAGGATTACTCTTTTAACTTTATGACTCTACTTCATCCATGTTTGTTTGTTTTTTTTTTTTTTTTTGGCTCCAACTATTAGTCATGGCCGTGGATTCTGCTGTGGTTTAGGAGAATGTACAGGGATGGCCTAAGTTGCTTTCTAAGGGAACACTTCTTACGCCTCCAGGGATCAGTCCCAGACCTTTATTAGTGGCCCAGATAGGGTCTCTGCAGAAGAAAGTTTTTCTTTAACTTCAGTATATAGTCCTCGATCTGTCATAATCCAAAATAAAAGGAAAATGAGTATGTTGAGTATATTTTTATTTTATGCATAATTTAATGTTTTCTGTCATCCCAGTGAAAGAGGACCTGGCCTAAAGAGCTTTCCACAGGATAAAAAATTGTTTCCACGGAAATGTGTACATGAGATTAATTTTCTTGAAACTCAGAATTCAGTTTTCATTCTCAATTAGTTGAAAGTAAATGAATACCAACTTGCCCCACCCAGGTGTTTTATTAATTTACTTAAGGCTGTATAACAAGGTGTGAATCCACTCCTTACTCTCTCTCTGCTCTGATACAGGAGGAAAAATTTACAGATTAAAACCAATGATTTAAAAAAAAAAAGTAAAACTTATTCAGCAAACGTTTTGTACTTATCTAAATTCAGACTCATGTCACTCTATAGTTTAAAATGCTGTGGTGCCCAGATACCTTGTGTTGCATCAATGGAGGATTCAGCAGCTTTGTGAAAAAAGGCTGGTCACTAAATTATTTTGTTAAAGTTAAAAACAATAACGATATGGCAACCTAAATCTAACTGAACAGAAGAGAAATACAGGT